GCACTAAGATCAAATGGCTCCCAATCCGTCTTCGTCGGAATACTCATATACTTTCTGCTCTCTACTGCGTCTTATTTAATATATCAAGTCCTTCCTTCCTATCTAAAAGAAAGTTATAAATTACTCAGGTCCTGTCATAACTTTTCCATACGATCCAAAGAAAATCTTTCTCTCCAATGTCCTGTGCACTCCTCGACTTATAACTTTTCAAAAAGAAATCATTTTCTGTTCTTGGAGAAAGACTTTGGAACTCCTTATCCCAGTCAATTAAAATTGCTCAATCCTTAAATATGCTCCTGAAACAGGTTAATGAATACTATTTGTTTCTCTAACCCCACTCCCTTCCTCCGCTTAATTATGGTCATTGATCTACCTGAATAATGTTGTGTTTTTAAGGCATAAGTTTGTATCTTTTTTTTTTATTCTAGTGTACCCTACTCATTGTACATTTTCTTACTTTTTATTTATTTCTTCTTCTGGGTTGTTTGGAAGAGATTGTTATGTAGCAATAAGACCGCCCTTTGTATTTCCCTCAATAGTTGTTTATTTTTTCTTTTTGATATGATATCTTTTCTTGGTGTACAATTAAGAGTATTGTATTGTATTGTAAATTAAGTCTTAGCAATATAAAAATGACAGAATGTCATTTTTATATTGCTAAGACTATAGTATGCTGAGAAATTCGTACACAATTAATTGTTAATGAATAAAGAAATTGATTGATTGATCAATATCTAGAATCTTATTTACTGTCATTATTTACATTGTGGAATTTACTTTCACTCACTAGGCCTCAAATAAAGCCTATATTAATTCGTCATCTTTATGAAAACTATTACAACCAATTCCAAGTCCACTCCTGAATATAGACTTTCTATAAATTGCCACCAAAACAGTCTGAGGTTTTGTGTCGTATCCGTGAATACGTTTTGAAGACCATGTGAATGGAGTTTAATTAAGATTGTCTTGAATATCTCAAATGTTGACATTGCGAAATTTTCAAATTCAAATTCATTTAATTTCAGACAACAAAGATCCATGGGTTAGTATTACATTATCGCTTATAAACTAAGTGTTAATACTTATAAAAAATTTAATTAAATTTTATTATATTATATTAGAATTAAATTACATCAAACTAAAATCATATTAATTCAAATTAAATCAAAATAAAATTAGATTAAATTAAATTCTAATTTATCATGTACCTGAGAGGCACTCCGTGCGGTCGATAAGCTTAAAATTGTTTCTGAACACCTGCCTAAGAGTTCATCATCATATTTCGTCCTGAGAATATGCTAAAAATCTATATAGATTTTCACTCCTTTCATTTGCTTTCATTACAGCCTATCAAAATTCCCCTTTTAGGGTTCCGTAGTTAAACAACAAAACGTTATTTTTATCAGAGTCATATGTCTCCCCCTCTATCAACTAAACCACTGTTTTTGGAAATGGAAAACGTTTCACGATAGTAGTATATATAATGAGGTTAAAAGAAAAAATATCACAGCTAAGCAGGCTTAAAAACTTAACCAGTAATTGTCGACCAACCTATAAAATACACTTGGGTTAGTAAAAAATTCGTTACAATTCCATATAAAATGACCTAAAACTAGCTGCATTATAAATTTGTAATAATATTGTTACCGCCGCTACAAAGTCCACAGCTGAACATAGACATCCCCCATAGATTGCCTCCTAGGGGGGATATTTCACATAGTTACCACAACTAGGAAGCGGGTTGGCCACCGCAGTTTTTTTAAATTTAAATCGTTATTAGGAAGACGCTGTTGTCCATCTCCTGATTTGTTTCCCTCTGTCGCTTTTTACCAAACCCACTGTATGTTTTGGGGTAGTGAATATTCTTACACCGCCGCTTTACGGTAAAAACAGTTTTATTTCACTGTAGTCATAACATTTTAAACTGTAGGAAATAAACATTTTTTGAAGAAAACGACTTATGCATTACTACTATAGGTTTACTTTTCCTTTGCGGGGTATCCAGAGAGGATCCATGGCGAAGAGATCGATCCTGACATACCACTTTCGTTGATTGTTTAGTTGGTAGATGTTGTAGGTTTCATTCACAGTATTCATACATTAATACAGCCTCAAAATGTTTTATTCGTGATACTCTTGGTTTACGCAGGCAGCCCTCGGGATTGTTTAGGGCAAAGGTGGTTTACGGGAAGGTTCGTTACGGTCATGTATACCCTAGGATTGCACTGCCGGGAAATAATAGATTGACAGGAAACTATGACCATTTTTATACTGAATTGGCATACGAATGATTTGATGTAGATTATATTATTTTCAAAATCAAAAAGTTTTTTTATCTTCTTTGTATTACTTCCTATAATATGTCCTTCAAAACCGTAGTCTTATTTGGGCCCATTTTATTAATCACTGAAGCGGTTGAACTGTGAACTCACATACTCATAATATCAAGAATGCTCCTTCCAAATTCATGTATTGTACGGGTAACTATGGAATTCTAATTTCACATTGTGCGTGACTTGACACGCACTTGGCCAGTCGTTTTATAGAATAAGAGTGACAAACGAACACACAGTCCACGTGACAATAGTGGATACTGTGGCCCAAAGACATCTATATCTATCCTCGGTTAAGAATCAAAATGCAGATGTGTTGTCACCCGTTGGAGTGAGCTGGGATGCCTTATTTCTAGTTAAAAGCAAGCAGCGTCTCCGGTTCCCTACACTGATGATACAAAACACGGGAGCTTTCATCTGCTATTTTACAATGATATATAGTGAAGGCATGGTCCACTGCTGAACTGTGTCCTGTGTTCCACATCCATCTCCATGAGAAGACATTTGGCATAGTTGCCAATCTTGTCAGATGGGTTGGCGACCGCGTTTATACATTTGATATATATTAGAACAAGGGAATAGCATAATATTGCTCGAAAATCTTGATTCAAAAACCTGCGGTTAGTGACACAACTATTGCAAAGATACCCTCATATACTAATACGTACTTCCAAATACAAGTCCCATTATTTAACAATTACTCCCGTGAGAGAAATATCAGAGAGAGGTTCATGTTTAGATGAGAAATATCGCTACGATTAAGTGATTTATAATTTTTAAGTTCAAACTTTCATAAACTTTCGGCCCTCATATACTTAAATTGGTAAGATGACGAGAGATTAGAGGACATCTTTTATTTTGAACTCTAAGCGATTGATGGGTGAGAAAGAAGATTTTTAATCTTTCGACATTGTAATTGCGTTATTATTTTCATTTAGTTCAAAATAATCATATCTTTTTTTAAAGCACGCCAATAAAATTATTATCCTGCCTTGCCGAAATTATGATGATTATATGTAATGTTTTTAATTACATTTCATTCTATCTCAATACTAACATTCATTTTACAAAAATATTGAAAACAATGTTAACAATCTCGCCGTAAATTGCATTCCGGGTTCGATCCCCGCCGGCACCGATTGAATTATACATTATAATCTTAAGTGCTCCACATGCATAGCAGTGGTTGAAAACATCGTGAGAAGACCTGTGCAAATTTTACAAGATATGCGTCATTTGTCCCATTCTTAAAAAGGCCTTTAAACAGCTGTAGATTTAAAAGGCTGATAGGAGAAGTATGCGTCATACTGTTTATCCAGTGAAGCATTTAGAAAATTCAATTTACTAATGGACTTAATCCGGTCGTTTTTAAAATACTGTGAAAAACATTACCATCTTGAGAAAACTTTTGTTCACAGCTCTAAAACATGACAGTATGATTAAGTACTTTAGTGTATATTTTTTTCCAAAAATATAACACAACATACTTAGAAAGATAGAACACTACGTTCTTCACTCACGCGCACATATTTTTTTCTTTCTTTCTTTAAGAGCCCCTAAAAGTTTACATTTTTCAACATACTTCTTACAGTAATTTCAGCATGATTTCGGCATCACTTGCAATGTACGTGGTATTGTATCATCTTTATTTGTGGGTACAAGATACAATTTTTTTTGGAACAAAGTTCTTTATCAGACAAAACGGGTCTAGGCGACAAAAAGTGTAAGATTTTTCCGTCACGACCCCTCTTACCTAGTGTAGATGGCCTTGGCGGCTATAAGGAAGGAAGCACCTCCCTCGCAACTTTTCTTATCTTGCCATGAAGGAAATATTATTTTATTTTAAATGACGCTCCATTTTAATAGACGCTAGTAATTCATTTATTTATATTTGCTAATCAATAATATAATACGTTTATCAGTAATAATATACTACGAAAGGAACTTCCTTACAACCGAGTGTTTCTCAACACTTACGCAAGTTTTCTTTAAATAGCTTTACAGCACTGCCATCTATAAAATTGAAAAATTACAAATGTTTCTTTCCAAATATTTTTTTTAAAAACGTTACCTGCACACTAGGATTTTCTCCTGTACCGTGGGGGCAGTTTACATACATAAATTTCACAAGGACAAACATCCAGACCCGGAACAATTACTTGTAGGCCATACAAGTACTTGTTTCATACGGAATTCGAACCCGCGGCCCTTAGCGCTGCAACTCATTGCTAAGCCACTACGCCAAGGAGCTGTCATTTTTTCCATCATTTTTAATATAATTATAGGAATGAGCGGTATCACCACGATTAACAAATCTTCTGCACCTTTGACGCTGTTTCATGACAACAGTTTGGGTACACTCTACATCTACCAGAGATTAGGTATAGGTAATAACTATCGCCCATGAACACTGCGATGCTTAGGTTCCTTCAAAATCCTTTTTTACTGGAAAGGAGGCATTCCATATTAGTCCTCAGGGGTAACTACGCAGTCTGCATTTTGATACCTAATGGAAGATTAATGTAAATGTGTATGGGCCATAGCATCCACTTTCATGAACTTATAGAAAAAATAATTAAGATGCTCCAAAAATTTTATTACATTTAAAAAAATTACACATTGGACAATTTAAGCTCAATATTTCTTGTGCAGTCATCTAAAAGTTTATTAACATGGCTGAGGTTTCTTCTTTGCTGCAATTAATATTATATTAATAATAATAAAAAAATAACGACGGCAACTTAAATAAATTTCTATTCTAGGAATAGATTAAAATTATCATTAAACGTAATTTTACTAATCCCGCATATTTTTGGAATTATATTTGTGACATAATTTCTATAAGGGCTGATTGTTCGATCATCGATAAAATTTATTCATGCAATAATACACAAATAAACAATTTACAAAAAACCTTCACGCATAAAAGAACTTGTAGCTGATGTGCAGCACCGACGCTCCGGGAAGTCTGTAGTACGTCATCCTGTTCAGGATTGTACATTACCTCAGATTTAATAGACCACTCAACCTCACGAAAAACATCGATTACTACAGTGGATGATTTGTGACGCTATTGGAATATTAAATCAATGTAATTTTAATGGAGAAGATGGCTGGGTGCTATACTATACCCTTCGGCCAATTGTACAGTAGGCTGAAAACTACAATCTGCCACTTTGTCTTGCGTATGTGGACTATGAGAAAACCTTTGATTCCGTCGAAATTTAGGCGGTGCCAAGAGGACTGTCGGTATATAGAAGTGCTGGAGTATTTGTACAGCAGAGCTACCATAGCTATCCGAGTACAGAACCGAAGTACGAAACCTATCCAACTGCAAAGAGGTGTAAGACAGGGTGACGTAATATCGCCGAAACTCTTCACCGCTGCGTTGGACGATGTTTGCAAGCTACTGGACTGGAAATGATACGGTATTAACGTTGATGGCAAGTACATCACTAACCTTCGATTTGCCGGCGATATAGTCCTAATGGCAGAATGGCTGGAGTACCTAAGCACTATGCTCAATGACCTCAATAGTGTCTCCCAACGGATAGGTCTTAAGATGAACATGGACAAAACAAAAATCATGATTAACGTCCATGTCACACGTATGCCGGTAGTTGTTTGGAGCACTAAGCTCGAAGTTGTTGACGAATATGTTTACCTGGGACAAATAGTCCGACTAGGTAAGTTCAACTTCGACCGAGAGGTCAATCGACGGATTCCACTCGGCTGAGCAGCGTTCAGGAGATTACGACACATCTTCTCGTCAGACATACCTCAAAAGCTCAAAACTAGATTGTACAACCAGTGAGTGTTGCCAGTGATGACCTATGGATCTGAGACGTGATCCATCACTGCTGGCCGTATGAGGAAGCTCAAAGTCGCTCAGCGAACTATGGACAGGGATAGCGCTCTCCATAGTTCGCTGAGCATATGCTCGGCGTTTCTCTGCGTGGTAGACATAAAAACGAGGATATCTATAGTAGAACCAGATTAACCAACATAGCCCAAAGAATTAGTATGCTGTAGTGGCAATGGGCCGGCTATATAGCTCGAAAAACCGACAACTGATAGGAAAGAAATGTTCTCGAGTGGCAGCCTCGTACCGGCGGCTGAAGTGTAGGACGTCGCTCCACTAGATGGAGTGAAGACCTGGTAAAACATGCAGGAAGTCAATGGGTGCAGGTGGCTCGGGACCGTGATTTGTGACATTCCTCGAGGGAGGCTTATGTTCAGTAGTAGACTTGTGAAGGACTGTAATGAATGAATGAATGAAAACCTAAGTATATATACCGACCGTAAGATCGTCTTCCGTATGTCCTCCGTCCTCCGGAGCCTAATATTTAAAAGTTGAAGGTACCCTTCATTAACTAAGACATCAGGACGTCAAACTGCATCGTGAAAGCGTTTGACGTTCATAAATATTACATCCAGACCGACAACTATAGTTATATACTTGTAGGTCATACAAATACTGGTTCCGTGTGAGATTTGAACCCGCAGCAATGAAAATAGCGAATAAAACTAACACTGCTGAAGTCTTAAAATTATAAATAAGATACATCGACTTCTATAGATTTAATTTCTTTATTTAAAATCGAAGAAAAGGAAATGTTAATTGTGTTGAATTCTATTGATTAGGGCCATAAAAGTGTTGAGGAGCTAAGCTACTAGGTTAGACTAAGCACTCGACATTAGTTTCACTGCCCAGCTTTTGATTGCGCATCAATATATGAAATTTCAGGTGCTGATTCAGATACTGTGAAGATCGAATATGAATAAGTCATCGTGAGGAACCTGCATTACGTAGGAATGTAATATTTCGAGGACCTGTGAAGTCTGCTAGCAAGCCTGCCAGACTAATTGCTCATAACCGTCTCAGAAATGAAATTAGGCCTATGTCTAAGCGGTGGACGTATATATATTGTAACTTTAATTCACTATTGGATGGGTACTGTAACACCTGCATATTAAACAATCACAATAGTACTGGCGATGCAAAAATGTATGGGTTCATAAAGCATTTACTTACGGCATTCAAATGGAACGCAAATGTTATTCTCATCTCGACAAGTATTTGGCTTGCAAATACACTGTGGTTGGCAGTTTAAAACAAGTGTGTTGCATACAGTTGGTTCTTCACAAGCAAATTCGCAACCTTCCCTCAAGCAGGCCGATGGACAATTATTAAAAACTTCATTGGGCCGGGTACAATTAACTGGCGCTAAATAAAAAGAGTGAATTTTGAAATTTATTCAATGCATATTAAATTAAACATTTGTAACAATGAACCAATCATTGTAGACCGACTGGAGCATGAGTGTTGCAAAGCTTTTGAAAAATTGCAAAAATAATATTTATTCAAAGGCGACATGCGTAAGAAATCATCAATATTAAAGGTATACGAAATATTTTTGTAATTGTATCGACAAACACTAAACAGGACACTATTAAGAAAATGATATACTATTACTATTATTATTTAAGACTTATTTTCTAATCATCAATCATCATATAAAAGTTATCGATCAACTGAATTATAACCTGACTAAATATAAAAGTGAACCAATTGCATTATTTTGTTCATACTGGCTAACTGTAATTTTTTATTTCTTATTTCATCCTATGAATAACTATTATCTGATGATTGAAAATCATTCCTTTATTAATAAATTTAAAATTTTAACTTACTACACTCAGATGCCAGGATACACTTGTTCTCATTTATACTTTTTTTTCTATAGTTCAAATTGCAAACGCATCCGGGAGCGCAAGGCGATGGAGGTACACAACTATAATCAGGTTTCGAATCATCCACTGGACAGTAGTTGTAAGCACATCTGTTGTTACAAGTTTGAAATGTCGCATTTTTTCCACATGGATTGCCACCTAAAAAAATATATTCCATAATGTGGAACTTCATTATTTCAAAGGGAGAACATAAGCACTAAGAATACAGAAATGAGATTATGAAATAACTATCTAGTGTCCGTGGCTTTTCTCGCGTGAAATTTCATCTTAGAGCCTTTTTTTCCATAATATTAACATATTGCTCTTAAATCAAAAAAGAAGCTACATTAATTATATAAATATTTAAAGGTCAAAGATGTTACATCCTACCGTACCTAATTAAGATCTGCCCTACCAAGTTTTTGCATAATAATCTTCCTTTTTATAGGATAAGCAATAAGTTTAGTAAATAACACACATGTAATAGTCAGTTACACACAATATAATAACAATAATGTCCACCAGTACGACATTCGTTCACAGCGGCCAGTCTCAACGAAAAATAACCATCAGGACAGAATTATGGTGCCTGAGTGTATGCGCAAGCACGTGTACACTAGGTATTCCGGGGCATGGGGCTGAAAAACACAGCCAACTTTCTGATCCGGGGCTGTTACTAAGAATTTCTTAACAGAACAATTCAATTACTGATTTTGGCCTGACCTGGGATTCGCAACCGCTTAGTAATCGCGTTTTACGGCCACTACACCTATGAGGTAGTCACAATCACGAAATATAATATATCAATAAGTTTAATAATGATAATTCCATAACCAGAAAATGAGATTTAAAAAAATATTTATCGCACACATTGCTCTTTGCACATTAGTCTTTCGGAACGCAATTTCTAGTTGTTCTTAATTTAAAATAAAGATTTTAACATAAAATATTTTTTTTTAAATCTTAACGTGCATATTAAATTATGTTCTATTTTATTTAATGTGCAATAAAGTTTAATTGAATAAATGAAAATTATTATTTTAAAACAAAATTCATAAACCATTATTGTCATCCCTCATTACTGATATACGACCACTGCCGAACATAAAAAAATATTTGGTTAATTGCCTGAGGTACAGTCCCCTTTAGCTAAATTAATTTAGTTTAAGTTATTAAGTGTAATAATGATATAATACTATCTTAGAGTACTGTATTAATAAAAAAAGTGTATGAAGAAGAATCAAATAACTAATTTTTGGCCTGTCCCGGAATTCGAACCCGAGAATATATTATGATCTGCAATCGAGCTAACCACCACTAGACCAAGCCGGTCAGTAATAAAATATAATTAATAGAATCAGGCGTTACTTTGCGGAAATCCATTATATAAAAGCTTTTACAAAAATTTACTTCGCAAATATCCGCGTTATAAAATAAAATGATGTGTCTTACCTAGTATGAAGAAGCACCTCCCGCCCTCCCTCAATTGCGTGCACTAACCCCGTCACCACTAATCCCAGCACCGCTACTCCCAACACCACTACACTAGGCAAGACACACCACTGACGATAATACGACACGTGTTTCGCCTCTACACGAGGCATCCTCAGGTGATATAGACTCTACGGTGGCTAACCGCTAAGTGAGCGGCGAGCCAAAACAACTGCCTTTTATACAAACCGATGACGCAACCGCTCTCTACCTAAGAAGCGAGCGACTGCGTCATGCGATAAAACATGCGACCAATCACCGCTGGACTTACGCAGCCGTTTGTAAAATTAAAAACACCGCCGCGCAACGCCCACATTATTAGAGAGCAGGCTTGAAGATATTTAAGAGAGGTGAGTTAGTAACATTTGTTTGTTCATTCAGCAATGCAACGGTATTATTATTACTTTTTAATATCTCTAACTGTTCCAGCACACACAGCCGCAGCCCTTTATTACACGTATGTAAGACTTTAAAGGAGTGGTCGTTGGCTAGGTTGTGTCCAGTGTCCAAAAGATGTTTGGCAAAATGGGATTTATCGGGATTGCAATTCCTGTACGCGGCTAAATGCTCTTTATAACGTGTCTCGAAATTGCGACCAGTTTGACCCACGTAAACGGCGTGGCATTCGTCACAAACAAGTTTGTAAACACCTGACTTTTGACGAATATCCAACTTATCTTTACTATTACAGATATTTCTAAGAGAATTGTTTGTTTTAAACGCCACATAAACGCCGTTTTGTCGAAGAGTATTAGCTACTTTTTCAGATATGGGGCCTAAGTAGGTCAAACTGCTCACATATCGATGAACACTTTGAGGTTGAACCGCGTACAGAGAGTTGCGAATAACATGCTTTTGTTTCTTTTTAATTAAATTGTTAATGAGATTTTTTGAAAAACCGTTAGAGACCGCTATTTGATAAATTATATTAAGTTCTTTTAAATAATTTTCTTTACTTAATGGGACAGTGAACAACCGGTTAATGTAACAATAAAAAGCGGCTACTTTATGTTGCCATGGATGACATGATGACGCGGGGATGACTGTGTCGGTGTGAGTTGGTTTTCGATAAATTTGGAAAACATGTGACGATTCTTTTCTTGTTATTGTTAAGTCAAGAAAATTAAGGGAACAATCTTGTTCCAATTCAAGTTTAAATTTAATTTTGTCATGGACTCTATTTATTTTATTGAGGAAAACATCCAGTTGTCTCCTTGTGCCAGTCCAGCAAATAATTATGTCGTCTACATATCGATAGTAATATAAGATATTTTGATTGACAACTATATGTTGTTTTTCGAAATTATCCATGAAAATGTCCGCCATAAGGGGACTTAGAGGGGACCCCATAGCTAACCCTTCTTTTTGTAGATAGAAACGGTTATTAAACCGGAAATAGTTTTGTTTCATACAGAGAGAGGTTAAGTTAAGAAGATCATTTGTTTCCCCGGGATGTAGACGACGTTTTTCAAAGAGGTCTGCGAGTATACGCAAACAATCAGGGGATGGGACATTTGTGAAAAGACTATCAACGTCTAAAGATAACAATATGGATTTAGGAGGAATACGAATATCTTTAATTTTGGAAATGAGATCTAAGCCATTTTTTAGGCTGTAAGTGGGGTTGAATCCAGATTTCTCTCGAAGGAGGAAGTTTAATTTTTTAGCAAGGAAATAAGCTGGTGCACCAATATATGAGACAACTGGACGAATAGGAACATTTTCTTTATGTATTTTTGGTAACCCATATAAAATGGGTGCTTGAGGATTCATTGGAACAAGATTGCTCCGAGACAAGTTGTGATCGGGAAAAACATATGATGACTGTTGTATACATAACTTAATATCCGAAGTAAACTTTTTGGTTGGGTCAGACTCCAATAGCTCAAAGTCATCACCTTGGATAACATCGTTAACTTTCTGGCTGTACCCACTACTCTCCATAATAACAACAGTATTGCCTTTATCGGCTTTAGTAACAATAAGGTCGTTTTCCCTTATTCTCTGCTTTAGGGACTTAAAAACAGGGAACTCAGGATTGAAATGGGAAGACGCGGGCACAGCCCGAATTTCATTAGCTACCAAACTTTTAACGATGTTATCTTTCCTCCCGATCACAACAGCCACCTCCGCGTCAACAGCCATAGTCTCTAACGATTTTTGGGAGACCGAAGGTGTTAAATTATACTTTAGGCCTTTATGTAAAAGAGTCAACTCATCTGTTGGAAACTGGACATCGGAAAGATTTTTAACTCGGGGATAAAATTGGTGATATTCTGTATGTATGTCGTTATTACGATTACGGGATGAAGAGGATACAAGTCGTTGTAATTTACGGGACTGAATTTGATATTTCTCATAAACAGCCATTGAAGCAAGTTCTCTGGCTTTTCCATCCAAAATATCAAATTCAATATTATGTAATTTATATGAAAGTTCAGAGTATAATACTTTAAGGTGGATTTTTAAATTATCTCTATTGGAAAACCAACGACGACACTCCTCATTAAGCCAAATGTTCTGAGCTTTAGAAATAGCAATACTGGCCGCTCGACTATTTGTGCTGGAACGTATTTGAATATAATTGGGAATAACATGAAGTTGTTTGCACTGCTGATTGAACCAAACATTTTGGGCAGCAATACGATGGAGTTTTGTTAATTTGACATAGAGTCTTGCCTGGTCGGCCGTGCTAGCCTTTTTAATATAATTAATAGAATCAGGCGTTACTTTGCGGAAATCCATTATATAAAAGCTTTTACAAAAATTTACTTCGCAAATATCCGCGTTATAAAATAAAATGATGTGTCTTACCTAGTATGAAGAAGCACCTCCCGCCCTCCCTCAATTGCGTGCACTAACCCCGTCACCACTAATCCCAGCACCGCTACTCCCAACACCACTACACTAGGCAAGACACACCACTGACGATAATACGACACGTGTTTCGCCTCTACACGAGGCATCCTCAGGTGATATAGACTCTACGGTGGCTAACCGCTAAGTGAGCGGCGAGCCAAAACAACTGCCTTTTATACAAACCGATGACGCAACCGCTCTCTACCTAAGAAGCGAGCGACTGCGTCATGCGATAAAACATGCGACCAATCACCGCTGGACTTACGCAGCCGTTTGTAAAATTAAAAACACCGCCGCGCAACGCCCACATTATTAGAGAGCAGGCTTGAAGATATTTAAGAGAGGTGAGTTAGTAACATTTGTTTGTTCATTCAGCAATGCAACGGTATTATTATTACTTTTTAATATCTCTAACTGTTCCAGCACACACAGCCGCAGCCCTTTATTACACGTATGTAAGACTTTAAAGGAGTGGTCGTTGGCTAGGTTGTGTCCAGTGTCCAAAAGATGTTTGGCAAAATGGGATTTATCGGGATTGCAATTCCTGTACGCGGCTAAATGCTCTTTATAACGTGTCTCGAAATTGCGACCAGTTTGACCCACGTAAACGGCGTGGCATTCGTCACAAACAAGTTTGTAAACACCTGACTTTTGACGAATATCCAACTTATCTTTACTATTACAGATATTTCTAAGAGAATTGTTTGTTTTAAACGCCACATAAACGCCGTTTTGTCGAAGAGTATTAGCTACTTTTTCAGATATGGGGCCTAAGTAGGTCAAACTGCTCACATATCGATGAACACTTT